GTGTGCCCAGTGCAGGGTCTTGTCAGACCCCCCGGATCAGCCCCTGCTCCCCATTGAGGAAGCTGCAGCTAGTCACAGGGAGATCCTCAAAAGGCACATTGGGACCCTCACTAATAACCTTGAAAATGCTGAAACTGTATATAAAAAACAAGATGAAAATACTTGGGAACTAAAGAGAAAGATGGAAAAACGGAGGGAGGAATTGGACCGTGAATGTGAAGAAATTAAGAGTTTCTTTGAAGTAGAGCACGATAAAATTGATAAAGATCTACTTATGGAAGAGAATGATGCTGAAGAAAAACTAATTGAAAATGAAAGGCAAATTTCATACCATAGGTTCAGGCTAAGCAGTCTGTTAAGTCAAACAGAAGAGAAGTGTTTGCAGACAGATGAGGATTTACTCACAGGTATTGAAAGGATCCACAACAGCTATGGAAACCGAGAGACCCCAGCAGTGTTTTCATGTGAATTAGAGAAGGAGATTTTCACTCTCCCCCCACATTACTTGGGCCTGCATGAAATGATCGGCACCTTTCAGGTAGAGTTGACACTGGATCCTGAAACTGCCCATCCGGACCTCATTATGTCAAGTGATAGAAAAAGTGTGATCTATAGGAGACCAGATGGTCTTCCTAATCCCCAGGCACCTACTTCTTCCCCAGCTGTCCTGAGTTCTGAGGAAGTTGATGCTGGCAGGCATTTTTGGGCAGTAGAAATAATAGGCGCAGGTGAATGTTTCTTAGGTGTGTGTAAAGAATCCTTCGTCATAAATACTCCCATGTCACCATCGGCAAACAACGGATACTGGCAATATCAGCTCTTGACTCGGACATGTGGCGTCGTCCCTACAGGACAACGGAAGATTGGCATTTTTCTGGACTATGAGTTGGGAGAGATTTCATTTTATAATTTGAATAAGTGGTCATATATGTACGGAATCGCTGATAAATTTACAGAAAAACTTATTCCTTATTTCTCCATTGCATCTTCTTCAGAATCTCTTACAGTCGGTATCATCAGAGTCTAGTGATGACAATTTGGATGAAATTTTGTATGTACTTATTTCCTCCCGTGTTATTAAAAGGAAAACATAATAAAGATCCTGATTCCAAAAAAAAAAAAAGTAGCCAGCCCTCCCCCCCCACCAAAAAAAGAATATATACTGTATGAACTCTTTATATAAAACTCTTTAGAAAAGGCAAACTAATCTATGTAACAGAAAGCAAATTAGTTTTTGAGGGCTGGGGGGATCATCAGGAAAATTAAGAAACATGGGAGGTGATGGATATGCTCATTATCTCTAGTTTTATGATTATTTCATAGGTGTATATGTATATTAGAAGTTGTTAAATGATACACTTTAAGTGTAATTTATTGTATATCAATTATATATCAATAAAGCTGTTTTTTAACAAAAACTATCAATACAGATGCCCGTATTGTTGTTAGGCAAAAAACAAATGAAGTACTTAGGAAGAAAAGAAGGAATATTAAAGTTGAGATAAAATAGGAATAGGTTAAAGCTCAGATGTGTTGGGCTGCACCTGAGTGGATCTCGGGAATTTTCTGAGATGAGCTCATTCCAACAGCCAGAAGGTCAGGCCCACTCAAGAGGAGAGGAACCAGCATAGGTGGGACATTTGGGACAGGGCTTCCTCATTTGTTATGTTGTTAATCCCTTGCAATTCAAAGTATAATCTATGCATCACTCCCATCAACACCACCTATGAGTTCTTAGAAATGCACTCTTGGACCCACTTCAGACCTACTAAACAAGAGTCTGCATTTTAACAACATCCCAGGTGATTCACATCCACATTAAATGAGCAAAGCTGCTGACCCAAACTACACAAAAATTGAGAAGGTAGGTGTCACTTCCATCCACACAAATAAGGAGACTAGACTCAGAGAAGTAAGATACTTAACCACATTCACACTGAGTTGGGATTCAAACGCTGGTCTGATTCCCAAGGCCTCACAATTTCCACTAGATCATTTTCTGAGAAGAGGTACATAGAAGGAGTTTATTTGGGTGGGTTGGAGATCAAGATGAGGATTAAAAGCATATGAGAAGGTGAGGAGAAGTCAAGAACCGTAGTACTACCGTGTTTAAAGTATTTTTAATTTTTAATTGTAAACCTAACACACAAATGTATGCCCACTGTAAAAAGGCAAACAACTAGAGATCTACCGAGTGAAAGTGAAAATTCCCCTTGTGTGTCTCCTCCCCTCAGAAACCAGTGTTAAAGTTTGGTCCCTATCTCTCTTAGATCTTGTATTTAGTTTGGAAAGTGAGGAATTTTTAAATTACAACTATGAAGAATATTATTTGCCTTTGCAAAGTCAAGTTTACCTGTTAGTTAACTAGGCTAGCCACACAGAGCATTTTGAACACACTCATGTTTGAGAGGGAGGGTTATCATCAGCTCAACAGCTGAGAGGGTAGGAGTTTTCCCAAAGACTGAACTGACCAGGAGACTTGGTTCTCTCCCTTCTATTACTGTCCCCACTGAGTTGGGCCAGCCCCTGATGGTACTGCCATTGCTGGACTATCTCATAGACACTATGAACCAAATGAGTCAAACCACTCTTGCTTCACTGGCTGTTGCCCAGGTTAAAGAGGTAATGAGAATAACAAAAGGAGCCCTCTAATCCCCAGGGCAAAGGTTCCTCAAAGCTTTGGTTTATTACTTCTTAGCCTGGCCCTAACCTATCTGTCAAATCTCAGTGCTCATCACAATCACTCAGTCATTCAACAAACCTCTATTGAGCACCTTACTAGGTGCTGAACATTGAGCTGGTACTGGGGAAAATGCTTTCCTCAAGGAGTTGGTTTATAGCCCTATAAATAGATTATGGTACCAGGGAAGCCACTACCTCCACCTGGAAAAGTTAAAGAGCCTGCAGAGGACTTTGGTGCCAAGGGGATAAACATGGACTTTAGACCATGATACAGGGGCCAATGGAGATAGAGTTGTTGTATTTCTTTGTTGTTTGTCTTTTGGGCATTTTTTTTTTGATACTTTAAAAAGCTTGTCCACATAGCTTTATTTTTTCTAATTATAAATTTTATATTTGTTATGAAAGTTCAGACAATATAAATAAGAATAAAGATAAAAATTTAAATCACCTGTTATCCTACCACCCAAAGATAACCACTGTTAATGAATTAAATGTTTGTTCCCAGATTTTGCCTATTTATATGTAGATATAAGTCTAGATATATGTGTTTACAAATATGTAATCATTCTGCATATGTAGAGTATCCCCCCCCCAAAATGTATACACACACTTTGAATAATTATAAAGGCAGTGTTTATTAAAATACATTTCATTTTCAAAATTGAGCTATCAGCTTTTAAAGTATGTATACATTTTTTGCCAAAGTATGTATACATTTATACAGCTTTTAAAGTATATATATATAATTTTTTTACCAGCCTTTGTTTATTCTGGCCAAATTCATAGCTTGTTGCTTGCTCTGTTGTCTTCAGCAGCAGCACTTGCTGTGCTGTGAACGCTCAGAGGAAGGAGGCTGGAAACAAGCGCCCTTACTTGGATTACTAAGCCAGAGAGCCTCTTAAGTGCGTTACTTTGGATGTTGTCAAACACAGAGGTCGGTGTGTTAAAGGCAGTAAGCCTGACGGAACACCCTGGCTTGGGCCATGCTTGTAAACCAGCAGCCACAGATTTCAGCTCCAACGCGGACCCCTTTCCTCCAGGCCCAAATGGCCCTTTTAACTGCATGCCTAGTGCCTTGCCTTCATCGTTTTTCTTCGGTTTCACCGAAGGAAGGCAGCCTGGACCAATTCAGCAGCAACATGGAGTCGGAGTGAGAGAGGCAGTTCTGGAAGGACTTGAACCAGTGACTCAGAGTCCACGTATGAAAATGCTGAGTTCTGCTTTGGACGTGAAGATGCCCCGCCCCACTCTTTCTGGACTCAGCGAACCGGAGCTGCGAGGAGACTCCTGCAGAGCCGACAACACTGCGATCTGTCTCCCTCGTGATCCTCCACTTTCATTACCCACCTCTTTTTCAGCGTCTTGATATGGTCCCAGTTAGAGACTATTTTCTTGTAGAAATAGGTCCCTGTTCACCGTGCTCTTCTCCGTACGTCTCCGCATCTTCAACCGGCGCTCTGCCCGGCCACGGGGCTCCCAGCCCGGGCCCCTGGCTCCCCGCGGCGCCCGGACTCCTCGGTCCGCCTGCATCTGGCCGCCGCTGGCGGTGCTGACCGAGCAGGATACGCCCTCGTCAGTCCGCCAGGGACAGCCCAGCCGGGTGGCTGCTAGTGTGGGTGCAGGGCCCGGGGTGGAAGCCCTCCGCGGAGAGGGTGGGGCGCCCCCTCCCCCCGCATATATATATTTTTGCAAAAAGCATTTTTATTTACCTATATATCTTGGGCAATTTATTTCTATCGAGAGTCATATGGTTTTTTTCATGCTTTCATAGTATTCATTATATGAATATGCCATACTTTTTTAAAAAAAAACTGAAATCTGTATCGGGGACAGTTCCGGTTTTTCCCTATTGTAACATCCTGCACACTGTGAAACTGCCCGCCAGACTTAGTGCCAGGTTACATTCCACCATAGAATAACAGAGGGAACTTCTCTCCCAACACCCTGCCCCAAGAGGGATATTATCATGGAAAAATTGTATTTCCTTCTCTTGCTATGTAATTTTTAAAAAGGCAGTGAGGTTGAACAGTTTGTCACATGTTTCTCAGAATTTCCTGTTTGTGGTTCTGGCAGCCGAAGTCCCTAGTCACTAGAAACAGACACTGCCTGATGTAACAGAGAAGGAGCTTATCGAAGGATATTTGTTAAGCAAAATGTTATCAACTGCTAGGTGAAGGATGAACAGAGGTTAGTTTTATCGTTCTCTCAACTTTTTTTGTAGGATTGAAATTTTTCAAAATAAAGTGTTAGGAGGAAGAGAGTCCTGAAGGGACAGAGGCCGAGGAGGTGTAGAACAGAAAGCGACCGTCCTGCTGCGACCTGGAGATCCTCAGCCAGCTGGAAGGAGTGCACACAATGAGTGACAAGAGCCAGCTGGCTCCTGGTCTAGCCTCAGTCCTCCTCAACATATCCCTGATGGCCTCGCTGGAGATCAACTACCAGGGTTTAGATAGAGCAGGATAGGATGTTGATTTTTGTCTTGCCGCTCCAGGAAGTAACCCTCAACTTTTGAACAGAGTAAATCAGGAGTACCCATGGTAGAAACTGAAGTTGATGACTGTAATATTTATTGCCCTTTCTGAAAGGTGACTTTCTTCTCATTAATCCTGGGTAACATGGAGAAACAGGAGCAAGAATAGGAGGGAATATATTATAGGTACAGATGTGTTGGATATGAAACCAGAGATATCCTGGAACCATCATCAGCATCAAGTCAGGGTTAAACAAATGTAGTCATATCCAAATTCTGCTTAGAGTATTTGAAGCTCATGATTGAAATATACAATGAAGCTGCTTTTTAATATATTTCTGGTCCACAAACAATTTAGTGGTGATGTCAGCCATTTAAGTTTTAGGCTAAACCATTCATTTAAAGACTAGAGGCCCAGTGCATGCATTTGTGCATGGGTGGGGTCCAGTTGGCCCACACCAATCAAGTCAATTAGGCCAGGCTGGCTGGGGGAAGGGGCTGTGGGCAGTTGGTGGGCTGGCCCCGCCCCCTGGTCGAACTCTGGGTCAAACTCCCAGTCGAGGGGACAATTTGCATATTAGCCTTTTATTACATAGGACTAGAGGCCTGATGCACGAAATTCATGCAAGGGGCTCAGGCCTAGCAGCTTCAGCTGCCCCAGCCGGCCCTCGCAGGCCCTCGCAGCCTCAGCCAGCCCTTGCAGCCCCAGCTTTGTCTGGAAGGTCGTTCAGAAGGATGTCTGAACAGTCGTTCTGCTGTTCAGTCTAATTAGCATATTAGCTCTTTATTATATAGGGTAAGTAGAATAGAACTTAAAACTCCAAACTATTTAATGTTGAAGAAGAAGAAAAAAAGGCTGGCCTAGCCGGTAGCTCAGTGGTTGAGCATTAATCTATGAACCAGGAGGTCACAGTTCAATTCCTGATCAGGTCACATATCCAGGTTGTGGGTTTGATCCCCAGTGTGGGGCTTGCAGGAGGCAGCCAATCAATGATTCTCTCTCATCATTGATATTTATCTCTCTCCCTTACTCTCTGAAATAAATAAAACTATATTTTTTAAGTAGGCTGAAAATGAAATAAACAGTTATAGTCAAGATAATTAATAGTTTCTTCCAACTTGTTTTCAGGCAGTCTTACATGTGAAACAAATGTAATTCAAATGTGAAAGTAAAATCGCTTTTCGGCCTTTTGGCTAATATCAAGTGTAAATGTGAAAGTAAAGTCTTTACTTTTATCTGTTTAAGTAATCCTATTTATTCAAAAGCCAGAGAGCAGTAGCTGAAGAAATTATGTGAGCTGAAATGGAGAAGCTTGGTTTGTTGGGTAGGAGAAAGATAAGGGGCAGTGAAAATAAGAAACAGGAAGAAAGAAGGGATTTTGTTCGTAAAAAATGAACACATCCTGACATTTCTATGCTATGCTATAAGAAAAAGAAAGAAGGAAAAATAGAGAGACTGAAGACACAGAGTAGAGAAGCCCGACTTAAGTGGCCGGAGGGCACAGGATCCAGAAAAAGAGGCTGGACTAGAATGAGGTGAGGAGGCCTGGGCCTGCACGCATATAAATTTCCTCCAACTATAAATTAAAGTAGATCAGCCCACGTGGCCTCTATTTTCTCCATAATGTAAGAGCTGAGGTGATGGCTGAAAATAAAGAGATGGGAGTCATGCAGGGGACTTGAGGACAACGATTATGTTTTAGAGCGGTGATGTTTGAGGGAAGGAGAGGAAGCTGAACAAGGACAAAGAAAATAGTTTCACTTTCTTTAATGGCTGCAGATCTATTCCAGTTTCTTCTTGGGGTTGTATCATTAAATTATGTAATTTCTAGGAATGTGTCCATTTCCTGTAAGTTCAAATTTATTGGCAACAGAGATGGAGATGGTGTCCGTCAGGGCCCTGATAGGAAACAAATAGCACATCTGAGTCGGGTAGCTGAGGGGAATTTGGTGACAGGCACATTTACCAAAATGTGAGCAGGGTTCAGGGGAATTCATAAAGGAAAGTGAAGCACTGCTGGGGCTAGCAAGAGTGGGGAGCCTTTGCCACGCCTAGGCCTCAAGAGGCAAGAAGAAAGCAGATACAGATCTCAGAGAGAGTGGATATGATTCAGGAGAGGGCTGCCACCCTGGAGCCCAAGTGAAATAGATGTTGAAATTATCTGCCTACCAGGCAGCCTTCTCTGTCCTCAGGTTTTGGTAATGGCTTCATCCTCTGGCCCTTGACCTAAAGTGGTAACCGCCAACTATTATGAGTCCCAGGGTACTGTACTATTCCTTATAATGGTGCTATATTCTAGCTCTAACTGGTTTGGCTCAGTGAATAGAGCATCAGCCTGCAGACTCAAGGGTCCCAGGTTCGATTCCGGTCAAGGGCATGTACCTTGGTTGCGGTGCATCCCCAGTGGGGAGTGTGCAGGAGGCAGCTGATCGATGTTTCTCTCTCATTGATGTTTTTGACGTTCTATCCCTCTCCCTTCCTCTCTGTAAAAAAATCAATAAAATATATTTAAAAAAATAATGGTGCTATATTCTTTCTACACCTTTATAAATACCTCTTTATTAAATTCTACTCAAATTACCCAATTTGAGTGAACTGTCTACTTCCTGCAAAATCTCTGACTTATGTGTGTTTTTAAAGACCAATAAAATAGACAAACTGGAAAGAAGGAAAAAGAGGGGAAAATAAACATTGTTAGGAATGAAAAGGGGGACAAAGTACAGATTTAACCATGGATTTAAAAAATACCCTCATACTATGAACAACTTTATGCCAATAAATTTGAACTTATAAGAAATGGACACATTCCTAGAAATTATGTAATTTAATAGCACAACCCCAAGAAGAAACTGGAAACTGGAAAAGATCTGTAGCCATTAAAGAAACTGAAACTATGGATTAAAAATATCCCCATAAGAAATAAAAAGAAAGAAAAGAAAAGAAATATCCCCATACAAGTAGGACACTCCTTAGGTGTTTTATTCAGCAAACGTAAACATTTCTAATGTATTTTTTAAAATATTGTTTATTGATTTCAGAAAGGAAGGGAGAGGGAGAGAAAGATAGAAACATCAATGATGAGAGAATCATTGATTGGCTGCCTCCTGCACACACCACATGGGATGGAGCCTGCAACCTGGGCATGTGCCCTTGACTGGAATCAAATCTGGGACCAGTCAGTCCGAGGGCCGACACTCGATCCACTGAGCCAAACCGGCTAGGGCTCTAATGTATTTTTTATCCAACAATCCTGTTTACCTGTCTGTAGTTCTTATTCTTCTGGAAGCTCTAAGAGGCCCTGGGTGCATCTGCCTATGCATTGCTGTACCCCAAGTGTAGCACAGATTAAGTAGCACAGTTAATCTATGGCAGGAGATTAGGAAATGTAAGGGGCAGGTAGACACATATGACTTCAGGAAAAGGTAGGGGAGTTTCACAAAAGCCACTAGGCCCCAAGTGAAATTTCAAACAGCCAAGGCAAAGCTGTTATCTTGAAGACTAAACCCTATTTCACCTGCTAGGTACCATTGATACAACAAGTCCCTTCACAATAAAAATCAGCATGCAGCCCTAACCAGTTTGGCTCAGTGGATAGAGCGTCGGCCTGTGGACTGAAGGGTCGTGGGTTCGATTCTGGTCAAGGGCATGTACCTTGGTTGCAGGCACATCCCCAGGAAGGGGTGTGCAAGAGGCAGCTGATTGATTTTTCTCTCTCATTGATGTTTCTAACTCTCTATCCCTCTCCCTTCCTCTCTGTAAAAAATCAATAAAATATATTTTTTAAAAAAATTAACATGTAGAAAGTGGCTCTCTCTCTATAACAATAACTCACTTTGGAACACTGAACTTCTCCATTTGGCTCTTTTGTTAATAATACCAAAGTGAACTGTTAGGAAGTACATGAGAGCTGAATAACATTACCCAAAAGGCCTGAACCCAATTCCAATATTTGAAAAGTTTTTCAGTAACTTTCAAGCTCCTTAAAATGTCCTCCTATCCATATAGTTCTGACTTACAGCAAATATTTTGAAACAAATATTTTTATTTAAAGGCATCAAGAATCATAGTCCTGCCCTGGCCGGTGTGGCTCATTTGGTTGGAGCATGATCCCATGCACTGAAGGGTCCCGGGTTTGATTCCCAGTTAGGGCGCATACACAGGTTGTGGGTTCGATCCCTGGTCAGGGTGCATGTGGGAGGCAACCGATCGATGTTTCCCTCTCTCCCTCCCTCTCCTTTCCTTTCTCTTTAAAATCAATGAAAACATTTTAAAAGAGAAAAGAAAAAAGAATCGTAGTCCTATAACCAGCACGATAGGGCCCTAACTTCCCTTTTCGATGTAGAGAAATTAGCTTTTTTTTTTACTTTTATTCAGAAGTTCTACAAAGTCTTGTGTGGTTTTAGCTGAATACAGGATGTGGGCACAGACTCTGCATCACTTAGGAGTTAGATAATGTTCAGGTGGGTCTTGGGTTTTGTCTACTGGTAGTACTAATATGTGTTTTTGTTGTTACTGTTTTCTTTTTACTCCTCAGCTTCTGAACCAGTTTTCCATTAGAGCAGCCAAGAAGATGCAAGATTGTCTGTGTAATTCAAGCAAAAATGTTTTTATTTTGAAGATCTGGCTTCTAAATTCACAGGGGTCCCTCATCAGTCAGAGCTGGGTAGCAGTTCACGGGGACGAGGTAAAGGGCAAGCATCACCAGGTGGGCCGCTGGGATCCACAAGTGCCCTGAAGCGCTGAGAACTTGGTTGTTAGGTAATCTCCCCAGGATCCACCAATTTTGATGGAGCAAAACTACGCATTAAAGGAAACAAAACCTCACAAAGTTCCTATGAAGGGTGTGGGAAACAGGGATTCTTTTAAATATCTGCTCCCAAATATAAATCCCAATAAACTGAACTCAAACCTTGAATGGTTGAAACTGCAGTTTATTTCTCTTGCCCTTTCAAGAGTTTTCGTTACCATAAGATTATGTTCTCATTATTTCTATCAAGAGGCTCTGTTTGGGGGATGCTGGCCCTTTAACAAGAGAGTAGGGGAGGGTTTGGGACTCTTAAAGCCAGGGGCAGCAAGCCAGCACTGGCCCAGGCTGCCATGGCTAAAGTGAGCAGAAAGGACAGCAACAGTCAGGTGGTGGGTGTCAGCAGCAAGGCAGCTGTGGGGCCCCTCCGCACAGAGGGAGGCTGGTGGTGTTTGTGGGAGTGCTTTTCCAACTCCTAGCCCCGTCCCTACCTTCCAGGCCTTTGCTAGACAGCTGCCTAGAGCTGGGTTGATGAGGTCAGAGGTTGGGGGTTTCAGGCAGCCCCGCTCCTCAAGATCCTGGGCCAGTACTCCCCTGACAACCTTGCTGGGGGACAGCCAGGTTTTAGGGTGCCACGCCATCTTTACTGAGGAGGACGGTGCCTCTGGGTCTCTTCCCTGTCCCAGGTTTGCCTTCCAGAGGCTGACAGTGCTCTCTCACCAGCCGTGGAGGAAGTCCGCCAGCCTGCAAAGATGACACGTCTTGAAGGTATCACTAAGGGAGCCATAGTATTTGGATAGAAAGCCTGGGGGTGCGGAGACTTACTGTTCTGGTTCGGTGGATGGGCATGGGCTTGCTTGTCCAGAGTCATTGGGAATGATTCCAGACTCGTCTACTTGTTAGCTATATCATGCTGGGTGACTGAAATCACTTTTCTGGGACCCCCTTTCTCACCTTCATAGTGAAATGATCAACAACAGGCTTGTATGATGGTTGTGAGAGATGAATGGACATATACATGGAACGTCTCTGGCACACAGTAGGGTTAAATTTGCAGTGAGTCAGGACAGCTGGGAATTGGTTGATTAAAGAAGCGTAGAAAGGGCTGTTAGGTGGAGGAGGGCAGGTGGAGAAGCCTGTGGTGATGACTAATGAGGCAATTAAAGAGGGGATGTAGAAAGTCAGGTGTCTGGCACCTGCCAGGTTCCGTTTGCTCTAGTCGGGGACAGGTAGGGGTCCTCTGGGGTATGGAGGCTGAGCTGAACCTTAGAACAGGAGGTGTTGTTTGAAAGTAGTGCTGAAGACGGCTCATGGACAGAAGTGCTACTGAGAAGCACTCTCTAGACCAGACTCCTCACACCTGCCTCCCCCCCCCCTACCCCCGCTTACTTCTTCAGGCCCCCACTCAAACCAAGGCCCAGACAAGTCCTGTGGCCCTGTGGCTCCTGAGGAGGAGCTGGTGTCTGCCTCCCAACTGGAGGAGGAGGAAGAAAATGAGGAGGAAGAGGAGGATCTGGATCCAGATCTAGCCCCGGACCTGGAGGAGGGAGTAGATGAAGAGGAGGAAGAGCTCGTGGACCCAGCTATCCTCAGTGCTGTCACTAACACCCAGGTACCATGGCAGGAGAGGCTGGAGGGACGGTTGCCCGAAGTGTTTGTGGCTCACAGACCGTGGTTAACATTCCTCTCCTCTTCTCCCCTTTCTAAGATAGGTCCTGGGTTAATACTTTCCATTTCAGGCTTGAACCTGAGTAGGGACTCTCTTTTTCCTTCTCTTTCCTCCTGTCATCCACTTAATTTCTGATGCTATCTTCATCTTAGAATCCAGATCCTAACCCTGGCCAGTGTGGATCAGTTGGTAGGGCATCGTACTGTGCATGAAAGGTCAGGGTACATGCCCGGGTTTCGGGCTGGATCCCTTGTAAGGGGAGTATAGGAGGCAGCTGATCGATGTTTCACTTCACATTGATGTTTCTGTCTCTCTCCCTCTCCCACCCTTTCCCTTCCTCTCTAAAAATTAATAATGGGGGGGGGGGCGGGGGGGGTCCTATCAGGGCTAGGCACCAACCATAGGTGCTGGCCCTGCTCCTGTGCTGAAGACGGGTCATCTTTGACCCTGGGCTCCTGTGTCTCAGCAGTCCATTCCTGATATTTATTTACTCCCTTGGATTCTCACAACCAGTGGAGAGAGACAAGGATTCCCATATAGAATGAAGGGACTCAGATCCTCCTTCAACCTACTCCTGAGATACCGGTCTTGCTTCCCCTTAGGAAAGAACAGGGGCCCTGGCCCAGTTGACTTTGACTATGAGGGAGGGCCAGGCTGCCTTTGTCCTGGGTATTGGAAATGGTGGCTACCCTCTATGGCAGTGGTTCTCAACCTTCTGGCCCTTTAAATACAGTTCCTCATGTTGTGACCCAACCATAAAACTATTTTCGTTGCTACTTCATAACTGTAATGTTGCTACTGTTATGAATCATAATGTAAATATCTGATATGCAGGATGGTCTTAGGCGACGCCTGTGAAAGGGTCATTCGACCTCCAAAGTGGTCGCGACCCACAGGTTGAGAACCGCTGCTCTATGGACACCATAGATAAACTTAGAAGACACCACAGAGGCTCATTTGAGTCTGGCTTTCCTTCCCTCCCATTCCAGAGAGGTCTTCCAAGCTCTCCTGGAATCAAGGCCTCTGGTGTGCTGGGGATGTCACCTGCCTCCTTGCACTTTCTATGGCAGGTGAGTCGCTCCAGTCTTCATAGTGTGAGAAAGTGACTGGGTGCTGAGAAGGAGCAAGCCGAGTGTCCTTTATTTCCATTGTTTAGTCTGCTCTTGGCCTTGATTGGAGATGAAGCACCCAAAGTGAGAAGTAGGCATGGGAGCTGGGAGACACTGATCATGCAGGGAAGCTTGGTTAGTGACAGATGGAACTGGGACAACTGGCCATTTACAAGAAAAAGGACAAACTAGATTCCTACTTCCACTTCCCTGCATTTCAGCACATAAGCAGCACTGACATCATGCAGGGAAGCTTAGTGACAGATGGAACTGGGACAACTGGCCATTTACAAGAAAAAGGACAAACTAGATTCCTACTTCCACTTCCCTGCATTTCAGCACATAAGCAGCACTGAGCTTAGGACTAGAAAGAGCACTTGCCCTTCAATTAACGGCACAATGAGAACGTGGTCTGGGATGGAAGAAATGCAGGAAATACTGCAGGGAGAAGAGAAGGAAACTGCGGTTCTGAGGTGAGTCAGAAAAGAGACAGCTAAGCATGGCCCCAGTGGCTGAAGGGACAAGACTATCACAGAGAGGAGAGGAAGAGGTGTTGGCTGACCAGACAGGAGGAAAAGCACAGGCCCCCACATTGTCAGGGACTGGAGAGCTGCTCCCTAGGAGGTGAAACCCTGTTGGAAACAAAGACAGGATCCACAGTCTGGTGCCCTCACAGTTGGCTTGAAGTTCCCCCCACGACAGCAAAATGTCCAGGGAGGGTCTTGAGAGAAAAGGCAGGTGAGAATGCAGAGGCAGGAAAGGCACTTGGCAGCAAGAGCAGCATTCTGTTTCTGGAGATGCCTCTTTAATTCCTCTTAGACCCTGGACTACTTGTCGCCAGTTCCTTTCCGGCCTACACTTCCCAGTGCCGGCTCTCCAGTGCGGCACTTTGGACCTCGACTGCTCCCACCAGACCCATATGTCTTCTGCAGCCCACCAACCTCATGGTCTCCTAGGTTCAGGTACTGGTTCTGGGTGCCAGACACCCCAGCACCCACAACAGTCTGAGTTCTCCAGAGGTCCCTGGCTGAGGAGGGGCGGGGGACACTACCAGCTACCACAGAAATATACTTATAGAAACTTAATAAGGAAAGTCTGCGGTAGAGTCCCTCAGAGATGAGGAAATGGAGGCTCAGGGAGACTAAAATAACTTACTTCAGGGTTAACTGACATAGCAGAACAGAGATCAGGACTAGAACTCTAGACAACCAGGCTCAATGGTTTTCTACTGTGTTGAGATTTCCTGCAGCCAAATTGCAGAAAAGTCTATCTTGGAGGAGAATGTGAGCGAGGATTGTGATGTTTCATGTGGCTGACTCTGGGGAGGCCCAGAAAGAGTTCCCTTAGATGTCCAGCTGGGGTTACCAGAGGCTAAATGAGTGGAGGGGGCAGGGAGCTGAGACCCTGCCTTCAGCCAGCCCAAGTTTCTTTCTAAGCCTTCCCAGTCATCTGACCCAGCTCCACCCTCAACACCAACGGATCTTGCAGCTGCAGAAGCACAGTCGAACACCAAGGTAAAACCTAGACCAGGAGCGGGGTTGAAAGCTCATCTTCGTGCTGGGTTTTTCCCCCAAGTCCCTGCACAATTAAGACTCCTATAGTGCTGCCCACCTCTGCACCTTCTCCCATCCTTACCAGACAGCTCCACTCCCTTGGGAAGTTCACTGTGGCAGGGTGGGTGGGTCTGAAGGGATGCTCCTCCTGGCTTAAAGGCCCCCAGCCAAGAAGCCCTGGTCTCGGCAGTCAGACGCCTATGCTAACCTCATGACCCGCAAAGAGAAGGACTGGGTGATAAAAGTGCAGATGGTTCAGCTGCAGAGTGAGAAGCCCTGCCTGGATGACTATTACTACCAGGTGAGCCCCGTGTGCTCTTCCCAGCTTTTAACCTTGGGGTGGAAAGGCCCTGGACTCCACGGGCCCTCTCAGGTTCTCTCTTCAGCTCATAGGGGCCATATTTCTAAAGTTGACATTCCAACCCCATTCACCTCTCTGTTCTCCTACATTCAGCCAAATGGGGTTGTGTACAATTTCCCAAATACACTCTGAGATTTTGTCTCTATCCTTTGCCAATAATTTCCCCTATTCAGCCTGAGAATATAGACTTTTCCACCTTTGTACACTTTTGTGAGTCTTTATAAATGTCATTATAAACATTCATCTACTTAACTTTATTATTTTAGATAAAAAATACAAGGATCTTAGAAATAGTAGGATTCGATTTGTTGAATTGAACAAATGATGGCAGACATTTTGACTCACCTCTTCCTGTTTCCTATCTACCCCCTGTTATGGGACACATCTTTGTTTATGGGTTTTGGGGTTGTCAAAGCTTTGTTTCACTTTTCTCCTCAACCTCCATGAGCCCTCTACCGAAGTTCCCACTTTTATCTCCTTCCTATTTAGTTTCTTTTTTTCTTTCTACCCTGCTTCAAAAATCCCCTCTTTCTGTCAAGATCACTGAAAGTGAAATTGTTTTATATTCTGGCCTTTTTTTTTTCATATATTTTATTGATTTTTTTACAGAGAGGAAGGGAGAGGGATAGAGAGTTAGAAACATCAATGAGAGATAAACATCGATCAGCTGCCTCCTGCACACTCCCCACTGGGGATGTGCCCGCAACCAAGGTACATGCATGCCCTTGACTGGAATCGAACCTGGGACCCTTGAGTCCGCAGGCCAATGCTCTATCCACTGAGCCAAACCAGTTAGGGATTCTGGCCTTTTTTGTTCTCCTAAATAGAGGAGCTTTATTCAAATCCTTGTTTGTCTCGCAGTCAGTGGCTTTATTTCAGCTTGGGATTTTATATATTTCTTTAAGAGAATATCAGAGCTGCTGAGAAAATCCTCAGAAGTATAAAATTGGCCAATTGACAATAGTGCTATCTCTGTACTTCAAGCTACTGGTGGTCTCCATGCCACCAGATAAAGTGACTTTGGAAAGCACAGGCAGAATCACAAAATCAAAACGGGGAGGTGGAGGATATATGATGTGTAGTGTATAACTTGGGAACAAGGAATGCAGGAAGGTTGCCGATGCTGGGACAGGTTTGCTTCCTGGCTCTACACTTCTCTCTCTGCCTCTGCCTTTCTATCAGACCTGGAAGTGGTACCTGGCTCTTTTTTTTTTTTTTTTTTTTGGTGAGAGAGAGAGAGAGAGAGAGAGAGAGAGAGAGAGACAAGGGAGAGAGATAAAAACATCAATTGGCTGCCTCTTGCATGCCCCCTACTGGGGATTGAGCTTGCAACCTGGGCATGTGCCCTGACCTAGAATTGATCCCGTGACCTCTTGGTTCATGGGTCAACACTCAGCCACTGAGCCACCCGGCTGGCCCAGTACCTTGCTCTTGAAGTCCTTAGTATGAGGATCCCATGAATGGTAGCATGAGACCTAGGGTGTTTAAGGTACTTTAGAATGATTGCAAATATGGCTTAAGGTGCCAGGAACATTTCTGGAATAGATGCTATAGGAAAAGGTGCGTTAAGACGTTGCACTTGAGAACCTTACTTCTAAATTCAGAACATGAGTACTGTATACATTTTTACATTCCATGGGCTCTCAGAAATATTATCAGAAACTAGAGAAGAAGGAGGCAGATGAAGAGCTGCTTGGACAAAGGAGCAAGGTGGAGTCCCTCAAGCTGGTCACACCTTACATTCAGAAGGCAGAGGCTTACGAGTCAGGTAGGCCCAGGGCTGACCTGCTGGGTTGGGCTGACCATCTGGGTGGACAGAGGGTAGAAAGGAGAGGGAAATATGCCTGTCTTGACTCCTTTCCTGCAGTGGTTCGATTCGAGGGTTCCCTGGGCCAGGTGGCCATGTCAACGTGTTTTAGCCCTCGCAGAGCTATTGATGCTGTACCCCATGGAACTCCAGAACCGGTAGGAATGTTATCTTCCCAGAACCCTTCTTTTCTCCTCCCTGTTTTGGAGAAGAGTCTTAAGCATCATCATGCTTGAGTTCAGACTGTGACCTAAGAGAGGGAGAAGTGTGATCAGACTTTGTGTTAGCCTTTCCAGCTCAATGTTTAGCTCCCCTGAGGCCTGGGTTGCTGCTGTGGAGGTGTGGCTGATGGCTGGGGACTCTTTCTTCTAGGAGATAGGAGCTGCAAGCAGCCAGAGGCTTCGGGTGTTGTCCTGGATTGAGAAGGTGAGATCAGCTCCTAGAGATGAGTTCCTAACTACTCCTTGAAAATGGGATCTGGCTCAAATTGACCTCTTCTTCCTCTTTTCCCACCCTCAAATTCCCAGATGTTTCTTCAGTTACTAGAGATAGAGGAGGGCCAGAAGAATGGGCCTCCACAGTCCTGCTACTCTGAGCAGCAGAGAAACCAGGTTGAGAAGCTCTTCCAGGCCTTAAAGACCCAGGAGCAGGATAACCTGGAGTGAGCGCGGGAGGTCATCCCTCCGCCCAGGAAGGGGAGGATCAGCAAATTTGCTTTAGCTGCTCCTTTCTGGCATGTAGCCCTCTCCATTACGTACAGCCCCGAAAATACTCTATCTCACTCGTAGGGAGGCAGCAGATGGCTTCCTGCAGGTGCTCTCTGTGAGGAAGGGGAAAGCCCTAGTAGCCCGGCTGCTCCCCTTCCTGCCCCGGGATCTAGCTGTCAGCCTTCTTCTGGCTATCATCCACCATCTGCCACTCCTGGTCAAGAGGGATGCAGCTGATCAGGTACTGTGGCACCAAGTGGAGAAGAGGATGATTTCATGGATGAGATAGGGATCTTTTCTCCTCTTCCAGTTCCCACCCCCAGAGATGCCAGAGAAGGCTGGGCAGTGAGGGGTGTCGACCCTGCCACCTCAGGTGAGGGAGTTACAGAGTAAACTATAGGAACAGCTGATCATCTTTAGGTGTAATGAGCACAAGAAAATATACAGGTGTGAGTGTGCTGTGGAGGGTGAGAAAATAAGGACTCCCTGACAAGTATTGAGCCCTGTATCTACTTTTCTTAGGGAAGACATCCTAGAACAAGTAGGTATTGAAGGACCAGTGTTGGTGATGGAGAGGCATTAGTGGTGATAGGTCTGGTAAATAACCTGCCCAGGTAGGTGATCAAGGCAGGTCAGCAAGAAAAGGGGTGGAAGGCAAGGTGGGAGGAGGTGAAGTTGTGAAGTCTGAGAGAGGCACTCACTGACCTTCCTGTAGGTCCTACAAATGTTATTCAAGCCTCTGGGCAAATATATCAGACACTTGACCTTCCAAGAACTCCTCCAAGGACTTCAGGGATTAATGCTGCTTCCACCTGGCTCCTCAGAGCGGCCAGTCACTGTGGTGCTTCAGAATCAGGTAATATATCTGGGAGGCTTTTGTCTTTCCATAGATCAGTGGTTCTCAACCTTCCTAATGCCGTGACCCTTAAATACAGTTCCTCATGTTGTGGTGACCCCCAATTTCATTGTTACAAATTGAACATAATTAAAGCATAGTGATTAATCACAAAACGATATGTAATTATATATGTGTTTTCTGATGGTCTTAGGCGACCCCTGTGAAAGGGTCATTCAACCCCCAAAGGGGTCCCGACCCACAGGCTGAGAACCGCTGCCATAGATGGTCTCCAGGCTGTTATCACTGGCAAGGAATAAATGAGGGAATGTTCTCATCTCTGCAGTCTCTTCCTCTCTTCCGTTTATCCTTTCCAGTGCTTATCAACTTCTAGTGAGCATTAGGATCACCTTGGGCCCACTGCCTGAGTCATTGAGTAGACCCACACTGCTTTCCTAACAAGCTCTCTGGTGATGGTGCTGCTGTAGACCTCTAGAGCAGAAGTCACCAAAGTTTTAATAGAAATAAATTCTGACCCATATCACCTATGTGTGTATTTATAAGTAGTTTATATGTAACACTATACTAATATTAGGCACGTAATAAATACACAAGTAGAACATTTTAAAAGATGAGACTCTAGATATGAAGTTCTGATATCTTCTAATATGCCAGTGGATTGTTTTATGAACCTCTCTCTGAAGATCTTTCCTAAAACAGTGCTTCTTAAAGTGGGGTCAGCAGACTACCTGCATCAGATGCCCAGGTCCATTCCTAATTTACAGACTCGGGGGGCAGAACTCATGAGTGTGCATTTAGTACACTCCCCTGAAGAATCTTTAGGGTAGTTCAGAGCAGTGAAAGGTCTGAGAGTTCTTTGGCCAGCCAGTGTAAAATCTGACAGTTGTATGGGTGTTGGACTCCATTTGTGCACGTAAACTTGTCCTTTTAGTTGGGAAGACAGAGCCAGGTAAGCACCGGATGCCTCGGATGAATTCATTTCCCCTGGGTACTTTATCACTTGCAGTTTGGAATATCTTTGCTCTACACCCTGCTGAGTCATGGGGCACAGCTGGTATCCCTGGATCCATCCCTGGAGGAACCCAGCAGTGACCATACAGCTTGGTAAGATCATAATGACCTGTACATATTATTTCAGTACATCTGGGATGTATAGGCTGGGCCAGATGAGATATTTCCAGAGCAGTGTATTCAAACATCAGGGAAGAAGTTGGCCAAAGGGAAAATTCCCAGAGTTGTAGCTGCTCTGCCTTTTCCCCTCCTTATAGTCCCCTAGAGTTTATTTTCCATGGGAGGCAGTGTAACATAGTAATTAAGGGGACAAGCTTTAGCATCAAACAGATCTACGTTTGAATTTTGCCTCCATTACTTATTAGCACTCTAAGTTTTGGGAATGTTACTTAACCTTTTCTTAGTCTGTTTCTTCATTTGCAAACTAGGGATCTTGGGATGGCAGTACTAGCCCCTTAGAGTTCTTAAGATTAAGAAAAATGATGTGTAAAGCATTAAGCTGTGCCCTGGCATATGTCAAATGTGCAAATGTTCTCCCTTATTTGCTACATGCATAGAGGGTGATGGTGGTGTTAAAGGGTAATAAGGATCTTGGCTTTGGGTCTGTTTCCTGCATAAATACAAATACTTTGATGTATTTCCTCCTCTCTGATCTCCAGGACAGACATAGTGATTTTGATCGCCTGGGAAATAGCTCAGATGCCTACAGCCTCTTTGGCTGAACCCCTAGCCTTCCCCACCAACCTCCTTCCCCTGTTCTGTCGCCACGTGGACAAACAATTGATACAGCAGCTAGAGGCTACAATGCAGTAAGTTATGGCAGAAACAAGGTCATTGCCCCTTGTTAAAGCCCAATCTAGGGTCTATCATTTACTTCTCTATTTCTTTTAAACCAAGAGCATGGACAATAGCTTGCTTTTATTATTTTTTTTAACATATTTTTATTGATTTCAAAGAGCAAGGGAGAGGGAGATAGAAACATCAATGATGAGAGAGAATCATTGATCAGCTGCCTCCTGCACATCCCACACTGGGGATCGAGCCCATAACCAGGGCATGTGCCCTGACAAGAAATGGAACTGTGACCTCCTGGTTCACAGGTTGACTCTCAACCACTGAGCCATGCCAGTTGGGCGAGAATAGCTTGTTTTCAGAAGTAGTTCCAGACACTGGCATTTACTGAGTAAAGAGTCTACCTCAAGTTAGGACCTTATGGTATCTTCAAATAAACCGCTGAATTGATTCCCAGGTGCCTTGGTCACTTATGCCAAGCTATTTGAGGGCAAGACTTAATTTGAGAAACTGAATCATTAATTCAAGAAATATTTGAGGGACAAAACTATTCAAAAACATAAACACGAACAACACGGAGGCCATCTCTTTCCTCAGAATTTACCATCTGCTGGAGTCATATGTTAATTAAATCACCTAATACTTTAGAAAATGTAATTGCTTGCAGTTAACATCTGTTCCCTTTGTAGGCTTGCCTGGATCTACTGATCTCATTGTTCTGGAATACGGCCATGTGGGGAAAGTTTAATTATCAGACACTAGCTGTGTGAGCTATGTCTACAGGGATCCAAGAGTCTGAAGACATTTCTTATGCCTTAATACATTGGAGGACCCTACCCAAAACATTTTCTTAGCTGTCTTCAAAAACCTGAGTGATGTGCCTAAAAAGGCATGGCATAATAAGGTATAATTAAAGAGATAATGATGTGTTGAAACTTGTTTGTAAGAGAAAGTACCCCTAGATGAGCTATGATTGTTGAATATACATATACACATCTCTTTGGGGATCTGAAATGTTTGGTTTAACTTGACAAACAAGGTTATCAGCAAAGACTGGAGTGCCTTTATGAACCAGGCACCGTTTTAGGCGTCAGGGTACCAGTGGTAAGCAAGAAAAAGTCCCTGCTCTTCTGAAACTCGCATTGTTTGGACAGGGACTAACCCCAAACATCAGGTGGTGATAAAAACCACGGTGAAAACAAAACTGGCTGATGAGTGACTGGAGTGGAAGCTCTGTCAATAGAGGTTATATTTAAGTTGGAATGAAAAGTATTTCATGTAGAGGCACTACTGAGCACAAAGCCCCCAAAGTGAGAATGAATTTGGTGTATTTCAGGAAAAGACTGAAGTACACAGATAAGTGGGGAGGGTGATGAGGCTGGAAAGAGGGAGGCAGGGTGTAAGATCTGTAAGCCATGATTTTTAAAAATTTGGATTTTTAACTGCGATGAAGTCAGAATTTTAAACAGGAAGGTAATGTGACATGATTTCACTTTTAGAAGACCACTCTAAAAATGTTACCAAACATTGTTAGTGGTGTTACCAAAGTTGAAAAGAAAGGACGTTAAGAAGGGAGTGAGGCCCTAACCGGTTTGGCTCAGCAGATAGAGCGTGGGCCTGCGGACTGAAGGGTCCCAGGTTCCATTCCGGTCAAGGGCATGTACCTGGGTTGCGGGCACATCCCCAGTAGGGGGCGTGCAAGAGGCAGCTGAATCGATGTTTCTCTCTCATCGATTTTTTTAAAGAAGGGAGTGAGGAATGATAGGTTGGTTGTGGCAGTCTAGAGATCATTCATTTTGAGGGAGAGTTTTGGTGGAGATGGCAGCCTGATCAGAGGGTTGAGGTGAGGTGAGGGAGCTTTTCTGACCACAAGATGAGTCAACTTGGAATTTTCTAAAAGGGAAACAGAAATTTGACAGAAGGTAGCCGTTGGTGTAGGATAAAGGAAGTCATTTTCTTTTTAAAAGAATGACATATGTTTTGGAACAGAAAGAGTTTGTCCACCCAGCACTAGCAAAGCCAAATACTAAACACTGAGAATTGCAGTAGAGAAATATTGGCTATTTTATTGACGAATGGCCTTATCGAGGAGAATGGGAAGCTAATGCTTAAAAGCTGGAAATCCTTGATGGCCTGTAGGTTACAGATCATATAGGCCAACTGATTGGTCGGAGGTGAGAGAAGGGTAATGAATCATTTCTTCAGGTCTTGAGGACAGCTCTGAAGTCTTTTCAGACTCCCTCTGGTCTCATGGAAAGTAGCCAGGGGGTTGCTCCACCATAGGACTCAAAAACTGAAACATAATTTAGGTCAAGATGTTACCTTTCGTTTGCCAGAGGTCTGGTCGGTGTGACTATGGGTCAGGTGGGGGCTACGATCTTCTGATTCAGAGGTTGCTGATTATTCAGGAAGAAAGGCTGGGCCTAAGGGGTGTACTTATAGATAGAAAGAGAGAGATTATTTCTAGAGCCAAGACTTAATACTAAATTTAACCAAAGTCACAAGGAACCACCAGTTTCGCATATTAGAGCATGTCTGCATGATAATGAAGTCACCCCAATAAAGAGGGAGGAAGCAATGCAGGAGAAAAAGAATTTTGTACACACCAAGCCCTAGAACTAGAGGAGGATTCGAGTCAAAGCAAAAGGAGGAGCTAAGCTTCGGTAGCCCCGTGAGCCCACCTGATGGTGGGTGAGAAAGGCACTGCGATTAGGGGGGCCCTTTTCCAAAATGCCTTTTCCACACCGCTCCTCACCCCTCGGCTCCTCTCTGCCCACGACCTTGGATCACACTTCCCTGCGGAGAGCAAAGGGCAACGCCACCCCTTACCCCGTGCATTTCAACATTCGGGTCAACTCAGGACGGGCCAGTCCACACTGCTAAGGACTGCTTGCACCACCCCAGAGCTGTAAACAAAATAAGAAAAGCCATGAGAAGGGGCAGGGACTTCCAAGGTGGCGGCTAGATTAAGGCGGCAATGGATAACGCCACAGAGCGAGCCAGCTGTTGCAGCCTGCGGCCGGTATGGAGCGGCCCGAGGCCAGCGCAGGTGCAGGTCCGCGGGCGCCGCAGGTGCGG